GTTTGGACGTAGCATGGAAGGAAGCTCCATTGTCAAAGATCCATTCAATGTCTCTGTCAGAGTTGCCCATATGCAGACATTCACCAACAGACATATATTTCTGGTACATCACCACATATTGGATTGCCAGTAGCAGTGGTATTGCCAGTATCATTCTTTCTTCATATGGCCTTCTTTGCCACAATGGTGGCATGCACCCCTGAACCTTGACTTGGATCGGCTAGGACTCCTGCCATGACCTCTAGGTCCTCTACTCTTGCTTCTTCCGCGGTTCTCTGTGACAAATACTTGGCTGCTATCTGTGCCAGAAGTCTTTCTCCTTGTTTCTTCATTGAGCATGCTATTTTTAACATTATCAAGGGTAAGAACACCATTAGAAGCAGAGTTACTTATACTCACCACAAAGGTCTCCCAACTGTCTGGCAAGGATCCAAGTAACAAGAGCGCTTGTAGCTCGTCCTCGATCGTCATTTTCATAGTAGCCAACTGGTTGATGATATTCTGGAAATTGTTCAAGTGTTCTGCTACACTTAAACCATCCTTGTACTTCACATTGATGAGCTCTTTGATCAAGAAGGCTTTCTTAGCTGGAGTTTTCTTCTCGAACAAGGACTCAAGCTTTGTCCAAAACTCGCGAGCATTGGTTTCATTAGACACATGGTGAAAAACACTATCGTCCACCCATTGTCTAATTGTGCCAATAGCCTTGCGATTCATCTTCTTCCACTCGGCATTCTCCTACATGGCTTCTCATGGACCTTTAGTGCCATCTTCCTTCCATCTTCGCAGTACAGCCAACCGGCTCACCACTTTCTGATACCACTTGTTAGGAATGTCGGTACTACAAGATAGAGAATGCACAAGGTAAAGTAGAAAATGGACGCCAAGAATTTATGTGGTTCGGCAATTTATGCCTACGTCCACCAAACAAGGAATCTTCACTATATGAAAAAGATGAATACAACAAGAGTAGTCTTACCAAGCCAAAGACAAGGCTTGATGGATACAAGAAAGTATAACACACACTTTCTATCACTCTAAACTTCACTCACACAATGTGTAGTGGAACACTCTCACTCTCACTCTTGGAGTGGAACTCTAGCTTTGGACTTGATCCTTTGCTACTCACTCTTAGTTCTCAATTGGTTACATCACACCCATATTTATAGGTGAGGGCTTGGCATTCTACTAGTTTCTAGTTCCTTCTTCAAACCTCTAGTATAGAAAAATCTAGACTAGCCACATACTTGTAGCTTCTAGATCTTTCCATTTGCAACCAAGGAAGCTAGTACTCTCTAGCTTCTTCCATCAACTTAATAACATGCTAGAATTGTCTAGCAAGCTCCAGCCTCATCTCTTGCTTACTAGAATAATCTAGAACATTGATCATGGGCTGGACCATATACCAACAGATATAATCTGCTAGACTTGAAGAGTTTCACTCAAAGAATTTTTCTAATCTCACACTCAATTCAACGGCTAATGCGAAGTGTGTCAGTAATTGATGGAAAGCCAGATTCTTATAGTAAACGTGATCCTAATGAAAAGGAGGACTAGGGTTTGTAAATTGTTTCTCAACTTGAACACAAAGTAATTTGATTCACATCCTAAAAATGCATTTAAAACTCATCTCACAATTTTTAAGAGAGTCCAATTAAAAAAAAAAAAAATTCCCCTTGGTTTGGACTTGGACTTGTAATTAACCATATTAAAAAGATTAGCCACAAATCCAATGCTCAGAAAATAATTAGAGGGTTGTAATTAGCATTTGGACATGAATTAAAAGATTTATAACAAAATATATAGACTTCAAACACATTTAGAGGCGGTCCATAGGCAAGGCAAACAAGGCATGCACCATAGGTCTCACTTTAAAGTAGGCCTCATATGGCAACAAGGCATGTGCCTCAAGTCCCACTTTAAATTAGACCTCATATATACCTTTATCGTAGATCAACTCTAACCCTTAGAGTAAGTTCTACCCCTTCTATTCCTTCTCCCCCCCCCCAAAAAAAAAAAAAAAAAAATCATTACAACCCTTGTTCTGAAATGGAGTTAAGTATCAAAACTAAAAAAAAAAAAAAAAAAGGCCAAATTTTGGCAAAGGTTAGTGGTGGAGCCCACATGTGAGAGTGGAAAACAGGATGTGAAGCCCAGTTGCCCAAGACCCATGCTCGAACACGCTGGCACGCACCAGACGAACCCCACCCATGTGGGCATGTCCCCCTCTTGTCGGTCGCAACAATGAGCCCAACGACTCTTTTTTCTGATCCAACGGCCACAATTTAAATGGACCAACGGTTCATATTTATATATATATTTTTTATATATTTATAATTTCATTGAATCCAACTGCTGATAGTTAATATGATCAAATCTAACGGTATAAAAAAAAAAAGATCTAGCAACCCAAATTTTAAATCTAACGGCTAAAATAATTGAAAAAATTATTTAACTCAAAATTCACCCAAATTTATTGATTTTTTAATATTTATCGGAATCTAGATATTTTTAGGTTAAAATGTTCATAAAATTAAATTAGGATAGTGTACATATTTTTTTTTTTAAATTACGTAGAAAAAATTAGCCCAAATTTTTTCTTTAATAACTTTGGGCTAAAAAATTTAAGCCGTTAGAGCAGAAAAACTGTTTTAGGTTAAAATCTAAATTTTCTGAGCTAAAAATGTTAGGTTTTACTCTAAAGGTTGGAGATTGTCTTAGAATTTCATTATTCATCATATTCTAGAAAGACGAAAAAAGAATCTCTTATTCTAAAAAATCGGATCTGATGTACTTCAAATTTATATTGTTGTGAAAGAAAAAAAAATCATATTAAGGTAACTTAATTAGGAATGCTCCATTTCATTTTTGTGTTAGGCATCAGGGTGCATTTGGGACGGGCCTGATCACGCTGCCCTCTGGTCTATAGAAGCATGGCTAAATTACATTTTTGGTCTTTGCTGAGGACCGAAGGTGAATGCTTTTGCATCGAAGCATCGTCGACAAATCTCATGGAGAAATCATGTAGTTTCCGTTCTCGAATTCAAATCCGGCTGAAATAGCAAATAAAAATTGGCAAACGGAGAAAGTAGCAACAGAAATAAGATCAAGAAAACAGAAAGTGATGTAAGAACGAACGTACACAAGAAATAGATTGATGTATGACCTTGACAACTCACAGAAGAATTTGTGGCGCTAGGAACAGGCTTTTCAAGCCGAAAATCGGAGCCAAATGAAATAAACTTTATTTGATGTTATTAGCGGGGCAAATGACTTGATCAAGATGCCTGCAGGTGATCTTGAAGCGCGGAGATGAGTAAGCTGAGGATCAGAAATTATCGAAAGCCACTCTTTGCTCACGCACCTGCAGTTGAAGACGGTCTTGACATAGAGCCTTGAGAGAATGTCCGTGACTAAAGACCGCGGAAGGTGTATATGTGCAGTACACAGTAAGGAGAGATATTTTTCCTCGCTTAGTGTTACAAATTCACGCAAATTTCCGTAAACTACAATCAGGTGATGCGCGTATGTCCTGTGGTTTTTTTTAAGTTCACACAAATTAATATACAGTGATGTTATAGCCGACCACAACTCCTAATAAAAGAAGAATTTCAGTTAAAGACTTTTGCATCGAAGCATTGTTGACAAATCTCTGCAGAAATCATGCAGTCAAATTGTCTAGGATCGTCACCATACACGCATATGAAGAGACAATCTCCTATCACTCTCAACTTCAAACAATCTGCCAATTCCTTCTCCCATTTTGTGAAGCAGCTAGGTGCAGGTGGTATTTGAAAATGCTCTCTTTCAAAGCTGAAAGATCGTATAAACTCTGAATACCTAGTACTCTCGGAAACCCAGTGAAGAGCTCCGTGCAGAAACGCATTGAATGATAAGCAAACATAGTCCCAAGGTGCATTCTCAATGCTTCTCCAAACTCCCGTACCAATGGTGGATATGTCAGTCTCATATAAGTTGTCAGGTGAGGACGATTCACACTCTGGATAAAATGTTTGGAACACCTTGTACTCATTCGTCGCCGCTCTAAAACCAAGTCCAACTAACATTCCAGACTGCCTACCATTATTAGCAGGCGGAAAAGCGATGTACTCACCCATGCACACATACAAGGGACCATATTTTCCAGGTCCAGACAAACAAGGCAAACCATTGCACGAGTTTATCACCTTAAAATCGGAAATGGGCAGGCTATTTTTGGGGGTAAACCTCATTTTCTCGATCCCCCAATGAGAATCGGCGCGGTCCTCTATCCAGGTATAATCCAGTTTCCTTGATTTGGTTTTAGGGGGTGTGGTCTAGATGCCGGTAGTGGGCGATCTCAAGATGCAGAGATGGAAGCAGGGTTTGCAAACGAACCTGCAGTTGAAGAGGCTCTTGAAGTTAAGCCTTGAGAAAATTTCCACGACTAAAGCCTGTGGAAGTTGATGAAATTCGCAAAGAGGTCCTTCGGGTTGCTAATCGCGCTTCGCCGCCGATCAGCGGTGTGGTTGCCACTCTTTTCCTATGATTCATTTTGTGGGTTTTAGGTTTCTGAAGGAAATTGGAGAGTTTGAAAGAGAAGGAGAAGTGAATTTATGGAAAACCCGGAAAATCACTAAGGAAGAGATTTTGGCGGCAAATTTTCCCGCGCGAAATCCATTTTTGGTCTGCGGAAAAGGCGCCAAAAATTGGATAAAAAGTGGGCTGGGCCCGGATGCTTAGAATAGGCCCAATAGGGCATGGTCTTCAACATGATTTCCTAACGTTTGTTTATCGGCAAATAAGTTAAAAACTCAAAAGAAACCTTCCGAGTCAAAACAAGTACATACAAGTTAATAGCAAGGAACTTACATTAACAAAAGTATTTAACAAAGCAAGTTATGACTGCCATTTTCGTCGATGGAGGCGGAGTTATCCTGAAGAATTTTCAAGAGGAACCAGTGCTGGAGCATCGTAGACACATCGGGAACCCATTACCGCTGAAAACATAACCCAAGTGCTCATTGCATAGAGAACACGGAGCCCCTGCCCTCCAAATGAAATCCGGCTGAAAAGAGATTGTCTAGGAAAGACACAGTAACAACCATCAGATGGATTCGAGAAAACAAAATGTGATCGCTTAGAAAATAGACTGATGAACTATGAGGACTCACGTTCGCAGACGAATTCGTGGTTGTTGGAAGACTTGCTTCGAAAGAAGGCCAGTCACGGCCCGAGTTAAGTTTTGTAGACTTGTGGTGTTGCATCTCCGAGGCAGAATCATAACTCCCTTCACGAGGGAGATCAGAACTCTCTTCAGCAGGAAGATTGTCACGTTTCCTACAGCCTTGTACCCTGCATATCATATAGTAAGCATGCCAAAATGAGTTGATATAATTCCCGACAAACGTCTCAGACTCCTCCCTAAACATCCATGTATCGTACAAATTTATGGAATACAATAGTTCTGCTTTTGCTGATAACCATTGCCACTAGGTTTTGATATGTGAAAAAAAAAAAAGATCATCTCGAATTTAACAAAAGAAAATGAACAAAACACATAATAAACAAAAGGCTCCGTCATAAACCGCCTGATGAGTACTGATCGGCGATAGAGATTGGACCATATCAAAACATTTCGAAATGCAGAGATATTGACAGAAGTTAAGTTGCGATTGATTTCTATATTTTCAACTTTTCAATGTCTGGATCGTATTTCCCAACATACACATCAACTTCCACAAATTGAAAGCAAACAAGAAGTTGTAAACTTGTAACCAAAAAATGCAATTAAATCTATGCATGTATACAAGTGAGGAAAAATTGCAGTACCTTTTCACCTCCTCTGCCCTTGAAACATTATAGAGTGAAACAAAGCAGGGACTGTAACCAATTGCATGAAACTGATTTCGGGTCTGAGTAATTCTAGTTTCTCTGAGACTCGTCCTTTTCTGGTTATAGCAAACCACAGCCCAATCATTGTAAGACATTACAATTTCCCCATTTCTCAAAAACACCATGGGTTCATACAAATCGCAACTAAGTTCTCTCGGATACAAGTTTTCGATAACAAGAGTTTTAGTCCAAGTCTCTCGGACACCATACTCCTTCATAACCCACATAACAAATTTACTAGAATCGTCCCCAAACACACACAAAACGAGACAACCTTCCAACACTCCCAACTTCAAACAGTCTGAAAATTGCTTCTCCAGCGGTCCAAAGTAGCTAGGTGGGGCAACTGCCTGAAACTGTTCCCGTTCAAAGTTGAAGGAATTTATAAGCTCAGAAACATCGCTACCGCGAGAAACCCAATGCAGAGCTCCATGAAGATAAGCATTGAAGGGCAACTGACAACCAAGGCTCCCAGAAGCACTTCCAATGCTTCTCCAAACCCCCGTACCAATGGTGTATATCTCAGCCTCATAGCTGCATCTATCATTGCTGATCGGTTCACTCAACGGAACAAACGTTTGCAACACCTTATACTCATTAGTCCCAACACTAAATCCAAGTCCAACAGAGGTAAAATTAGGCCTAGCCCTATCGCTCCGCGGCACGGTGATGAACTCACCCAAAATTGGATTGCAGACATACAAAAGGTCCCCTCTTTCGGGTCCGGACAAGCAAACTAAACCATTGCAGGAGTTTATCAGATTAAATTCAGAAATGGGCAGGCTAAATTTGGGGGTAAACCTCAGTTTTTCGTAGCGAAAGCGAGAACCAGATGATTCCTCAATCTGGGTAAAATCGAGCCTCCTTGTTATGCTTTTGGGGGGAAAAGTCTTGATCAGTATGCCAATGGGGGATCGTGAAGTGCAGAGAAGGGAAAATTGAGGGTCGGAAATTAGAGTAAGCCAGGATTTGCAAACACACCTGCAGTCGAAGAGGGTTTTGATGGGGAGCCTTGAGAGGATGTCCATGACTATAGACCGCTGGAGGAGTTGAAATTTGGAGGGAAGTCTGGGCGGCTGCCATTGCCGTCGTTGTTGGTGGTGGTTGTTGGTCGTCGGCTGCTGTGGTGTATCTGCTGCTGCTGCTGCTCTTTTGTTTGGATTCGTAGGGTTTTTCCCTTTCCTTCCTCTCGGCATTTTTTATTTCCGGCGGCGGAGGGAAATGAGAAGGCAATTGACCGTGAAAGTGAAAAGTTGGGCCGGTGTCCTCCTCCTTCACTTGTAGGTTTGGTTTACCAGTTGGACTAGTCAAAACACTTGAGTTTTGAGTCAGCAATTTTTGTTTGTTTGTTAGATTAGGAAGTCAAACGGGTTTGAATTCACGCAGTGATGCAAAGACAACACTCATTTCCACTATTGTATAGAGCAAAAGCAGCTTTGATCAGGGATGATGACAACCTCCGAAGACTTCATAACCAAATAATTTTCGCGATGAACCGGCATCAAAGAATAATTTCACGATGAAATGCTCGAGGGGAACTCGAGGACAACTTAATCGGCCTCGAGTGGCTATATCTCTAATCACAGAAGACGAATTCTAAAAAGTTTGTTTTCCAAATTTCCCATCAAATAATTGCTTAAACTTAGAGCACTTTTGAGACCGATTCTACGGTACCTGCATGCACCTAGTACCGATGTTCTTTGAGCCGTTCGATCAAACCAACTTTCAAATGTGCAACGGCACTCGGTGCCTGTAGGTGCTGAAGAAAAATCACATTTGACACGATCCAGTGTTGTTGCTGGAATAGGCAGGAAAAATTCATCCATGCAACACCCCCCAGGCCATGAAACACGAAACTAAAACAAAGAGGTTTTATTGGCCCTTCAGCTAAAATAAAATATCATAACAGATTCACAAACACAACATTCAGATTAACAATCTTTGTGTTCTCTTCATACACGGCAGAAATCGCGTTAAGGTTTAAGCGTAAGAAAGCAGCTAGATCTGTTGTAACAACGATCCAAAAGACCTCATAGTGCAGACGTTTCAGGAACAAGCTTGATGGAAACGCTGTTGACACAGTGGCGTTCATCTGTCGGCACCTTATGCCCTTCCCCTTTAAAAACATGCCCCAAGTGACTGCCGCAAGCTGCACATGTGATCTCAGTTCTCCTCCCATCTGGGTCAGGCTGAAGTACATACATAGTTGTTTCAGTTACATCCAATGTCAGCAAAATGCATTAGCTAAAAACAAAAACAAACAACATTTGTATTATCAGCAACAGGAACACACCGATCGGTTTATGGCTCCAGGCAGACCCTCGTAGAATGCAGGCCAACCGCATCCGGAATCAAACTTGGTAGTTGGCTTTTGAAGAAGGGGTTTACAAATGTGAATGGTGTTCCACAACCAGCACATTTGTAAACCCCTTCTTCAAAAGCCTTGTCATATTCCCCAGTGAATTTTGGCCTGCATAACTCCAACCGTAAGCAAGTCTAACTTAATCAATTCACACATTGTGCAGATACTAATATCTCCCCAACATTGTAATCAAGGTGAAGGGATTATGTAACATGTATCAAATTGGTAACTGGAGCAATTTCCTCAGTAATCTAATTCTATATATTATTATATACACAAGAAGTAGGGTAAATTAGGAGATTTAGCAAAATTTTGTATCTTTCAGAAGTTTGACAACTCGGTGATTCTCGATTTTAGTTCAATTACTGCTGGAGGGCCTCGAGTGGGAATATTTCTAAATCTTAATGGAAAACAAAAAGGTCTTCAACGTGTTAACAAAAACGAACATAAAAACTAAACACTGAAAACGAAATAGTTATCAAATGGTCTTAGTTTTGCAAGTAGACTTAAAAACAGTTGAATACCATTAGTAAGTAAGCAAACCCTAAAGCACTTCATGGGTGTTCTTCTGCCAATTCATCACAGATGCTATATTTTTTGTGGCTAACAAATTGTTAGACTTAGAATATGTTATACAATCTTGCAAATGATAACATGTTTTATGAGTTATATTATCAAAAATACAAAAAAAATTATCAGAGAAGCAGAAAAAATATTGAATATACCATCCAAGAACAACAAAATCCAGAGAAAAGACAGAACCCATCAAAATCCAAACACCACATGAGAATTGAGACATACCTAAATAGATCATAGTATAAAATATGATGACCAAAATTAGAAATAGGAACAGGCAGAAAAGAAAAGAGAGAGGAATTACTCAGTTCCTTCCTCGCGTAGAATCCTCAACTGTTCCGGCGAGAGAACAGCCCGCCATTCTTCCTCAGTTTTCTGAATTGGTCGATACGTTTTCTTGGGAAACTTTTGATATAGACTTATGTGGAAATTCTATTATTGAACATGGACGCAAAATCAACCAAATCCTCTGTTAGAGCATCTCCAGAAGATTCCAAATTAGTGGTGGATTTTGGTTGAAAATAGTGTATTCAATTGGAATTTTAAGAGGATTTAATTTTTTTTAATGAATTTAGGGTATTTAATAAAAAATCCACCACTAAAATTATAGTGTATTCAATTAGAATTATGGTGTATACTTACTGTATATCTAATCATTTATTATGTGTCTTTTCACATAACTCTGGTTAACTTTTACATTAAATATTACTTTTTTAATTTTAAAAAAAATTAATTAAAATTAAGTGAAATAACATGTGACAAATGTTTAGATTCATGATGAGAAATTTTTTTTAATTATCAAATTTTCTAACTGAGTGAATTGGTTAATTATTAAAAACTGTTGCTAATCAAATTTTTTTTATTTTTAATCATTTAATCAAATAAATTTTTTTTTAAATATAGTATAAAAAAATGTGTAAATAGTATCACTCGTTACCGTTTCTCAAAAAAATAATCACCACTTATTATTAAATTCAAAACATTTAATAATCAATTTTGAAAGCAAACATTTGATTTGAACTTTTTGTCATCGGGTATGTGATGTGGCCCGTGTAACTAAAGGCCCAATAGTTCCAAATGGGCTGAGTGGGGCTTGAATCTGGCCCATTACCCACATCGTCACTAGGCGTTTGATGCTTTCAAGTTTGAAAGCTCAAAACTTGGTGGCTTTCTCTGCGACTTCAAAAGTTTGAAACAAGGGAAAGAGAGCAAACCACCAGCAAGAGAAGACACACTCTGAACACAAATGTACCCGGGATTTGGCAAGGCGTCAGGACCAACAGGACCGCCGGGATCGCAGCCACTTTTCGGAAACCTTGGCGGCGGTCGGCCGCCTTCGCCTTCTCCCCCGACCACCCCTCCTTTTTCCGGCGCTGCTCCGCTGCGTTCTCCGTCCAGGTTCGCTCTCTCAATTTTTCTTCATTGTTCATCACATGGGTTTCTTTGGGTATTCGAAACTTAATCCAAAGTATCAATTTTTTTTTTTTTTTTAATTTTGTATATCGCTCTCCAAGAATTTCTGATATTATATTTCTCTTTTTTTGGTTTAAGCATATGACAGAAATTTGGATAAATGGGCGGACTTTAGTTCCCAATTTTGTATGAGTAGAAGGGTTTTTTGAAGAAAAAGAATGTATTCGGGTGATCGAGTTCAAATTCTTGGGTGCTTGTTGAATCAAATTCTATAAAAATAGCTCACGTCAGCTTTCTAAATCTGTATATCTTCTTTGAGTTTAAGGGTTATGTGCAAGTCTGGATTGATTCGAAGGAGCATTGTAAAAATATATGATTGAATAGCAATTGAGCAATTGGGTTCGGTTATGTTAGGGGGCCCGAAGCTCTAGGTCCTTTGGCCTTTGAAAGAGCTCCTTCTGCTGCGAGTCATCCCTGCAGGAGTCCCAATGCGATCACAAAGTTATTGATGTATGTTTAATTTATATGCATATGTCATAGCAAAATATGGTGCTGTGATATATTATTGATGTATGAATGTGCTGTGTCACATATAAAAACCTGTGATTGAATGGTCCTTGAGCATTTGGGGTTGGTAAAATATTATTCATGTTTATTTGAACATAGGGGGCCTGAAGCTCCAGGGCAGCTGTATTCTCCTCCCTTAGGCTTTGAAAGAGTTCGTCCTGCTGCGAGTCAACCTTACCCATCTGCGGGAGTCTATAGGTAAGGACAACCCTTGTTACAGTAAACAGCTAAATTCGTTATTATGTTTTTCACTTGGTGTTATATGATTTTTGCCGTATGTATCTGTCTCAATGCTGTCACATTCTTATGGTGTATGTGTAATTTATGACGACGTCATAGAAAAAAAATAGTATTGTGATATATTATTGATGCATGAATGTACCTGAGTTATGCATAAACACCTGTTATTGAATAGCCATTGAGCATTTGGGTTCCGTTATGTATTAAAAACTTATTGATTTTATTTCACCATAGGCGGCCTGAATCTTCAGGGCAGCTGCATTCACCTCCTTTGGCTTTTGAAGCGCTCGTCCTGCTGCAAGTCATCCTCACCCATCTACAGGAGATCATAGGTACAACAACGCCTGTAATTGTACATTCATTATTTTGTGTTTAAGATGATTTTAGAAAACCAATTACAATTAGCATCTCTTCTACCCCTTGGTGAGTTACTTTTGCATGTGGTCTTGGAGAACTGAGTGCTTGAGGCTTGTCTTTGTAAACACAAACATCAACCTATAAGCTTACTGTAGCTTTAAACTAAGGAGCTGGATATACGTTTTGCACGTTTTGACTATAACAGTGTACAAATAATTTTTTTTTCCTTCGTTTCTTCCGAAAGATATACTAGCCGTTGTTAGATGTTTTTTTAACTTTATCAAACAAGCATCCTCTGTAATATAATGCTTGTTGTGTATACATTTCTGATACATGTACAGACCCTTATGTTCAGCAATAGCAACGTGATTCTGTGCTTTACATTTTCATGTATGCATTTATTCGCATGTAAGTCATTTCTGTTTAATGTCACTCCTGTGTTTTATTTTGATTGGTCAGTTGTGCTGTTAAATCAGAAATGTCATAACTTCATATTCTTTTGCTTCCAGGTCCACAGAGTCTCATCCTACTTGGGATCATGGGCAGAGATCCTCCTTTAAGAATTATGATACCCAAGCTCATCAAAGGCCATCTGCTGTCACATCATTTGTTGTTTCTCGTAATTCTGGAACTAGTGTTACTGCCAAGGTGTCCAGATTCCAAGACACTAAAGGGATCAGGTCGCCTCTCTTTCTGTCTAAAGATGTCAATTTTAGAAATTCCACTCAAGGTGCCCCTAGAAGGTTAAGTCCTTTCTTTCTTGTTAGTTTTTTCGTTTTTTTGTCTGTGTTTGATCTTGATGAATTTGCACTTATTTACATTAGAAACTGCATTATGCCAACCTAGTGACTCTAGCTGTCAGAAGTGTGCTTACTTTTCTGCGAATGAAACTGTATTATATGACTGCAAACCTTTAATTTGGCCAGTGTATCAACTTTAGTGATATGATCTATGCTTGTTATATTGATCCATAAGGAGGTTAATATGTTTTCTTTACCTTTTTCAACTTGAGGTTGAATAGTTTCTTATAGCCACTCAGATTTTTTTGTAAATATGTGCAGTCACTTAGTTGCTCCGAGAATACGATCTCCTCCCTTGGTCTCTTATGAGGATTTGCATCCTTCTGTTGGAGTTGAAGGGTAAGTTCTTAGTTCAACTCTTTGTGTGTGCGTGTTTGAGTTGAAATGATGGGTGACATTTAAACTGTTAATGTTCTGATGAAATCCATCTGTTGTATGCTTACCGTAACGCTGCCATGTATGGTACTTGGGAAACTATGTTTTGGGCGAGCACATAATAGTTCAGCTACATTATCTCCAAAAATACTGGTCTCTTTATTTTTGCATGTCTGCTTATTGCTATGGGATCATCATAGAGAAGAAAAGTATCTTCCCCGTGAACACCTTTTTTTTCTTATATAGGTACATGCTTCATCTTTTATTAAAGATAATATGGATGGTTTCCTTTTGTGTTTTAAATATGGCTTTAATCTGTAAGATAACTTTATTCAATCTCACAATTTTTTGATCGGGCTGTTGGTTCGCATATAGGCATGCATTTCCCTCTTCTGAAATGGATAGTCGTCAGAAGTTACTTGATCATGCTGAATTGCGGTTTCCTCAAGAACCTTCTCTAGTATCACCTTTTGATGGGTCTTATGCTACTGGTAGAAATTTTCCTCTGAAACATGACAATGGTCAGGCCTCGAAAAGAACAAGGTTCCTACTTTTACTATATACTAAGACTAAGGAAGTTGGCCAAGAAAATTCACATTTTCCTTGAGATGACTATAAAACTTATATAAACATATATTGGTAGACACCTAAAATTTTTTAAGATTCATGAAGACAACTGGGATCTACTTTCTGTAGTGTGGGCAGCCAAAATAGATTATGATATGTGTGCAATGCATAGCAGCATAAGGAGAGAAATAGAAGAGTTCTTATTATCTTCTTCTTCTACAAATGGGACAGTTTCATTGCAAAGTTTATCCAAGCGGTTGTTTACTGTAAAGTGAAAGTGGGTCTTTAGGTTTGGAAAAAGAGAAGTTCAATGGAATTTGTGCACTTGTAAAACCTGTTATTCTTAGTGGCATTTTTATGGCATATGCCCTTTTGAATCCCCAAAAATAAGGTGGGAAATATTCTGAGTGAATCTCATATGACCCTTTCCAGGCCTTCTGTATCTTCTGTTGGGTTCAATACTAGATCAAATACCAGTTTTAGTACTCCTGATTCTCGGGTACATCAAAAGTCTTTGCCATCTGCAAGCAATACTATTTCTGAAGCTGCTGCAGGAAATGTGACCAGCATCCCTGTGGCCAAAAGGACAAGGTCACCACCTTTACTTCCAGAGGATCAAGTGTTTCATGGAAACTCTCATGCCACTCAAGATGGTACCGAACGGAAAAATTTAAGGTGTGTTGGTTATTTTCTACATGCTTACTCAAGCTTGAGGTTTACTAAATTATTTTTCCTGATGTCATTTGCAGAGAAATGCAAGCCAAAGCTAAGAGGTTAGCCCGGTTCAAGGTTGAATTAAGTAAAACTCCACAAAACAATCCTGATAATGTAGAGCCAGGGGTTACTGCAAATAGACATGAGCAATTTGAGAGGAACAAATTAGCTGCGTATAAATCTACCGAACTGGCTATGGATGGTAATGATGGCAATGCTTTACCTGAGGATGAAGGCGTGGAGTCGTCTGGTATCATTATTGGGTCGTGCCCGGATATGTGTCCAGGTATGCCTCTCAACCAAGATACACAATTATCTATGGTTTTTTATGTCTCTAGCATGACCACTTGATAAAATGTGGAGGAAAGTAGGACAAATGGCCGATAGTGTCATCCATAAATGAGGAAATATCAATGAAACATTAACACTCCAGATTTTTAGTAATTTATATCTGTTGCCTTTCTTCTTTTGTGCTAGAAGAGTATGAGACTCAGTCCTTTAATCTCACTAAATTTCCTTGATATTTCAGAGTCAGAAAGGGCAGAACGAGAAAGGAAAGGGGATCTTGATATATATGAGCGCTTGGATGGGGATAGAAATCAAACCAGCATGTCCCTTGCTGTTAAAAAGGTATTCTTTGTGCTATTCCCTCCCGCCCCCACTCTCCTAGAAATTACTTCTGTAATAAGATAAAGTGTGATGGATGTTCAATGTCATTTGTATGCAGTATAACAGAACAGCTGAGCGAGATGCAAACCTGATAAGACCAATGCCAATCCTGCAGAAGACAATTGATTATTTGTTCAATTTGCTTGATCAGCCTTACAATGATAGGTTTCTTAGAATTTACAACTTCCTGTGGGATCGGATGCGAGCAATTCGAATGGACTTGAGAATGCAGCACATTTTTAACCAAGAAGCTATTACTATGCTGGAGCAAATGGTGAATCCTCTTTACTTTTCTTCCTGTTTGCTGATATGCTAGTGAACATAACTACATAATTATCGACATTTAGTGTGAAGAAAAATGTGTGGATTTTATTTTTTTTTTATATGAAAGGAGTGAGGATTCACCATTGTCTTTGTGTTAACTGTATTACAAAAGACATATGTTCTTTTGATATATGTCTCCCGTGTCTTTTGTAATACAGTTAACACTTGCTCCTAAATCAATCAATACTTTATGAAAATCAAGACTACCAATAGCACAAGAGATAGTGAAACTCCCCGGATCTTTCTTCTTGGGTGGTAGCTTATGTAATAGGACAGCACTGCATTGCTCAATTAAAATCACCTTCTCGTATTCCAAGAACTTTTTCTTTTTAGAACATAGCTCCTTCAGAAATTTGGCATATGATGGGATCTATTTAATAGCATCTAATAGAGGCAAATTAATTTGAACCTTAGCCAACGTCTTCATGAATTCAATGCATTGTTGATCCTTGGAACGTTGTTGCTGCCTTTGTGGAAATGGCAAAGGTGGCTTGTATGGTGGCTTGTCAGAAGGGGCAAATAAACTACCAAGGCCTTTTTCCTTGTTTGCATCAAAGTTGGGTCGAGATTGCACTTTGTCACTTGCACTAGGATCTGGAATACCTGCTACAGAAATAGCCTCTGACCGAGACTTTGCAGCTAACGGTGCACTTTCAGTAAGCTCTTCTTCTTCCACTTCGGCTTCATGGTGCACCACTTCTCTGTTGTCATAGCTCTTGCCACTTCTCAATGTCCGTATTACTTTGCCATGCTCCATCCCTCTTGGATTTTGCTCAGATTGGCTCAGGAACTTTCCTTTCTGTCTTTCATTGAATATGGTAGCAAGCTGTCCAACTTGAGTCTCCAAATTCCCCACTGATGCCGTGAGATTCTGAATGCTAGTTTGTGTGGATTGGACAAAATTGTTGGTGCTATTAGAGAGAGCAGACATATGTTGAGCTAGCTGTGACATTTGGTCTTCAAGAGATGGTTCTTAGTCTCACTAGTTGAATGGTAAGACTGTTGGTATTGACATGGCTGTTGGTTGCCACCCCAACTGAGATTGGGGTGGTTCTTCCACCCAGGATTATATGTATTGGAATAAGGGTCACTTCTGGGTCTAATGAAATTATTCACCATATTCACATGCTCTTGCACTAGCTCAGGGTAGCTATCCTTGTTGGGGCATTGAGTGATGTCATGAGTTGTCTCACTACAAATGATGCAAGCTTCTTGGGCATTGGGCATGGAAGAGACCTGCATTAAGGCAGCAAACTTGGCATTAAAATTCTTTTCCATTTTAGCAATTTGAGCAGAAACATTAGGAGAACTCTGAAAAATCTCAAAAACTCCCCTCTTTTGTGTTTGTTCTTCTGTCCATTGTTGGGATTCAGAAGCCATCATATCAAACAACTCAAATGCTTCCCTTGCAGATTTTGACATTAACGACCCTCCAGCAGATGCATTCACTTGACTCTTGGTGGTGGCATTGAGACCATCATAAAATATGTTCATTTGAAGGTTAGAATCAAATCCAGCATGAGGACATTTTGTGTACATCTCATTATACCTTTTCCAAGCTTCATGGAAAGACTCGTTTGGTTTTTAAGCGAAAGCCAATATCTCTTTCTTGAGTGCAAGAGTCTTGGAAGAAGGAAAAACCTTATTGAGAAATTTTTCTTGCAATTCTGTCCATGTTGTAATGCTATTGGCAGGCAGAGAATGCAGCCACGCCTTAGCTTTGTCTTTCAAAGAGAACGGGAACAAGCGTAACTTGATAGCTTCAGAAGAGAAATCTCTGATTATGGTGTTGTCACATGCCTCAATAAAATCAGCCAAATGCATGTTGGGATCACTGTTTGGCAACCCATGAAAGGATGGCAATATGTTGAGGATGTGAGGTTTGATTTCAAAGGTTGTCGCATCTTCCACATCTGGATATATAATGCACCTTGGCACTGCATTGATTCTCGCTGCCAATGAATTCCTTAATGGTTGACCTGCTGCAGGTAAGGCTAGGGCCATGTATGCAACTGGTGCCAAAGGTTGGAAAATAGTTGTGCTGCTCTCAGGATCACGGAACAAATCCTTAAGAAAAGTATCACCAAGGTTGGAATCTTGTGCTAAATATTTTTCTCTAGCTAACTTCCTTGCACTTCTCTCTGGTTCAGGGTCGTAAGGAATAAGCACTTGATTCTTGGACCTTGTTCCAATCACCATATACTACACCTGAACAAACAACAGAAATATTAAGCCACAATAAAAATAAAAGTAAAATAAAATAAAACTTAACAGAAACTAACTAAACAACAAAAGGGAAAAGAAAGTAAGTAAACCTAGATGAATCAAAAACACAATTTATGCAAATTGGCAACCACTAGTTAGTTAAATAAAGACAAAAATCTCACACTACACATCCACTGATTTGAACAAGAGCAATATAAAAATAAAAGCCATTGATTTACCCAACGGAACTATATGCATCATTCTGCATAGACTTGAATAATTACTAAAAGCTGTGAACTATAGAAAAGTTAGCTTTTAAAGACTTCAACTTGATGCTTCATGACCTTTTTTTTTTTATTTTTTTTTTATTTTTATTTTTTTTAATACGTGATTTAGAACAGAAATTTGTGAAAGGGATACATAAACAGATTTCTAACGCAAATATACAGCATTATTACGGTACCAAAGTTAAATTCACCATCAATGGGCTTAATCAAAGATCAAAACTCAACAAAATTAATTGCTGTTTTTTTTTTAAATTTAATGATTAATAAAAATAAGACATAAACATAAGCATAAGAAAAATAAACACAAAAGTGACCCTTAATGCAGGTCTCTTCCATGCCCAATGCCCAGGAAGCTTGCATCATTTGTAGTGAGACAACTCATGACATCACTCAATGCCCCAACAAGGATAGCTATCCTGAGCTTGTGCAAAAGCATGTGAATATGGTGAATAATTTCATTAGACCCAGAAGTGACCCTTATTCCAATACATATAATCCTGGGTGGAAGAACCACCCCAATCTCAGTTGGGGTGGCAACCAACAGCCACGTCAATACCAACAGTCTTACCATTCAACTAGTGAGATTAAGAAACCATCTCTTGAAGACCAAATGTCACAGCTAGCTCAACATATGTCTGCTCTCTCTAATACCACCAACAATTTTGTCCAATCCACACAAACTAGCATTCAAACCTCACATCCTCAACATATTGCCATCCTTTCATGGGTTGCCAAACAGTGATCCCAACATGCATTTGGCTGATTTTATTGAGGCATGTGACAACACCATAATCAGAGGTTTCTCTTCTGAAGCTATCAAGTTACGCTTGTTCCCGTTCTCTTTGAAAGCCAAGGCGTGGCTGCATTCTCTGCCTGCCAATAGCATTACAACATGGACAGAATTGCAAGAAAAATTTCTCAATAAGTTTTTTCCTTCTTCCAAGACTCTTGCACTCAAGAAAGAGATATTGGCTTTCGCTCAAAAACCAAACGAGTCTTTACATGAAGCTTGGGAAAGGTATAATGAGATGTACACAAAATGTCCTCATGCTGGGTTTGATTCTAACCTTCAAATGAACATATTTTATGATGGTCTCAATGCCACCACCAAGAGTCAAGTGAATGCATCTGCTGGAGGGTCGTTAATGTCAAAATTTGCAAGGGAAGCATTTGAGTTGTTTGATATGATGGCTTCTGAATCCCAACAATGGACAGAAGAACAAACACAAAAGAGGGGAGTTTTTGAGATTTTTCAGAGTTCTCCTAATGTTTCTGCTCAAATTGCTAAAATGGAAAAGAATTTTAATGCCAAGTTTGCTGCCTTAATGCAGGTCTCTTCCATGCCCAAGAAGCTTGCATCATTTGTAGTGAGACAACTCATGACATCACTCAATGCCCCAACAAGGATAGCTACCCTGAGCTAGTGCAAGAGCATGTGAATATGGTGAATAATTTCATTAGACCCAGAAGTGACCCTTATTCCAATACATATAATCCTGGGTGGAAGAACCACCCCAATCTCAGTTGGGGTGGCAACCAACAGCCACGTCAATACCAACAGTCTTACCATTCAACTAGTGAGACTAAGAAACCATCTCTTGAAGACCAAATGTCACAGCTAGCTCAACATATGTCTGCTCTCTCTAATAGCACCAACAATTTTGTCCAATCCACACAAACTAGCATTCAGAATCTCACGGCATCAGTGGGAAATTTGGAGAGTCAAGTTGGACAGCTTGCTACCATGTTCAATGAAAGAGAGAAAGGAAAGTTCCTGAGCCAATCTGAGCAAAATCCAAGAGGGATGGAGCATTGCAAAGTAATACGGACATTAAGAAGTGGCAAGAGTTATGACAACAGAGAAATGGTGCATCATGAAGCCGAAGTGGAAGAAGAAGAGCTTACTGAAAGTGCACCGTTAGCTACAAAGTCTCGGTCAGAGGCTATTTCTATAGCAGGTATTCCAGATCCTAGTGCAAGTGACAAAATGCAATCTCAACCCAACTTTGATGCAAACAAAGAAAAAGGCCTTGGTAGTTTATTTGCACCTTCTGACAAGCCACTTTTGTCATTTCCACAAAGGCAGCAACAACGTTCCAAGGATCAACAATGCATTGAATTCATGAAGACGTTGGCTAAGGTTCAAATTAATTTGCCTCTATTAGATGCTATTAAACAGATCTCATCATATGCCAAATTTCTGAATGAGCTATGTTCTAAAAAGAAAAAGTTCTTGGAATACGAGAAGGTGTTTTTAACTGAGCAATGCAGTGCTGTCCTCTTACATAAGCTACCACCCAAGAAGAAAGATCCGGGAAGTTTCACTATCTCTTGTGCTATTGGTAGTCTTGATTTTCATAAAGTATTGATTGATTTAGGAGCAAGTGTTAACTGTATTACAAAAGACACGGGAGACATTTTTATTGTAAAGTCTAAGTTCTTCTTGCACTCAAAATGA